TGGATCCTCGGGTAATGCTATGTCCAATTTTCTGAGGAACCACCACACTGATTTCCAAAGTGGTTGCACCATCTTGCAGTCCCACCAACAATGGAGGAGTGTTCCTCTTTCTTCACACCCTTGCCAGCATCTACTATCACCTGAGTTTTTAATCTTAGCCATTCTGACTGGTGTGAGATGGAATCTCAGGGTTGTTTTGATTTGCATTTCCCTGACGACTAAGGATGCCGAGCATTTCTTTAGGTGCTTCTCGGCCATTCGAGTTTCTTCTGTTTGGCCAAAATATTTTAAGCAGAGAGTAAAGTATAGAAGGTGTCAGAATATCAGAATAATTGACTTGCAATTATACAAAGAACCATAGTGACAAAGAAAGACTAATAGACAAAAAAGAAGGAAGGAAAGAAAGGAAGCAAGGAAAGAAGGAAGGAAGGAGGGACAGAGGGAGGGAAGGAGGGAGGGAGGGAGGGAAGCAGGCAGACAAATAGGCCAACCTAGCAAACTCAAGAGAGTGCCCATTGAAAACCTCATATAGCTATAGCACCTACTTTAACAATGTTGTCCAAAGCATACCTGGAGAAACAGATATCCCATTCAATAAATGGTGGGGGCAAAACTGGATATTTACCTGTAGAAAATGCAATTAAAAGTTTATCTGTTCTCCTGAATTAAATATTGGCCTATAGGTAGAGAAAAGACATTGATCCAGTAGCTGAAATGCTGAAACAGCTGAAAAGGAATATTTCAAATTACAGTTATAGGCAAAATATTCCTGAACAAGGCACAGAGCATAACCCTATGAACTGATACATGGGATCTGAATATGACTCCAACAACACAGGAAATAACCCTGAACAAAAGCAACAAATGGAATTGAAAAGACCTCTTGTTTACAATTGTATAATTGCAAATTGCTCTTTCTAATGCTATGAAGAACTAAGTTGGAATTTTGATGGGGATTGTATTGAATCTGTAGATTGCTTTTTATTATATTAATCGTGCCAATCCATGAGCATGGGAGGTCTTTCCATCTTCTGAGATCCTCTTCAGTTTCTTAGACTTGTAGTTCTTGTCATACAGGTCTATCACTTGCTGGTTAGAGTCACACCAAGGTATTTTGTATTATTTGTGAGTATTGTGAAAGGTGTCATTTCCCTAATTTCTTTCTCAGCCTGTTTATCCTGTGAGTAGAGGAAGGCTACTGATTTAATTTTATATCTAGTCACTTTGTTGAAGTTTTTTTATCAGCTGTAGGAGTTCTCTTGTGGAAGTTTTGGGGTCACTTAAGTATACTATCATATCATCTGCAAATAGTGATATTTTGACTTCTTCCTTTCCAATTTCTATCCCTTTGACCTCCTTTTGTTGTCTAATTACTCTGGCTAGGACTTCGAGTACTATATTGAATAGGTAGGGAAAGAGTGAGCAGCCTTATCTAGTCCCTGATTTTAGTGGGATTATTTCAAGTTTTTCTCCAATTAGTTTGATGTTGGCTACTGGTTTGCTGTATATAGCTTTTCCTATGTTTAGCTACGGGCCTTGAATTCCTCAACTTTTCAAGACTTTTACCATGAAGGAGTGTTGAATTTTGTCAAATGCTGTCTCAGCATCTAATGAGATGATCATGTGGGTTTTTTTCTTTGAATGTGTTTAAATACTGGATTATGTTGATGGATTTCCTTATATTAAACCATCCCTGCATCCCTGAGATAAAGCATATTCGATCATGATGGATGGTTATTTTGATGTGTTCTTGGATTTGGTTTTTGAGAACATCCTTAGTCATCAGGGAAATGCAAATCAAAACAACCCTGAGATTCGACGACATACCAGTAAGAATGACTAAGAAAAAAACCTCAAGTGACAGCAAATGCTAGCGAGGATATGGAGAAAGAGGAACATTCTTCCATTGTTGGTGGGATTGCAAGCTGGTACAACCACTCTGGAAATCAGTCTGGCGGTTCCTCAGAAAATTGAACATAGTACTACCTGAGGACCCAACTATACCCTGGGCATATACCCAAAAGATGCTCAAACATATAACAAGGACATATGCTCCACTACGTTCAAAACAGCCTTATTTATAATAGCCAGAAGCTGGAAAGAACCCAGATGTCCTTCAACAGAGGAATGGATACAGAAAATGTGGTACATTTACACAATGAATTACTATTCAGCTATTAAAAACAATGACTTCATAAAATTCTTAGGCAAATGGATGCAACTAGAAAATATCATCCTGAGTGAGGTAACCCAATCACAATAGAACACATATGGTATGCACTCACTGATAAGTGGATACTAGCCCAAAAGCTCAGAATACCCAAGATACAATTCACAGACCACATGAAGCTCAAGAAGGAAGATCAAAGTTTGGATGCTTCTTCAGTCCTTCTTAGAAGGGGGGACAAAATACTCACGGGAGGAAATGCGGAGAAAAAGTGTGGAGCAGAGACTGAAGGAAAGGCCATCCAGAGACTGTCCCCTACCCCCGGGATCTACCTCATATACAGACACCAAACTCAGACACTATTGTGGATGCCATGAAGTGCTTGCTGACAGGAGCCTGATATAGCTGTCTCCTGAGAGACTCTTCCAAAGCCTGACAAATATAGAGGCAGATGCTCTCAGCCAACTGTTGGACTGAGCATGCGGTCCCCAATGGAGGAGTGAGAAAAAGGATTGAAGGAGCTGAAGGGGTTTGGAACCCAATAGAAAGAACAACAATATTAACCAACTAGACACCCCAGAGCTCTCAGGGACTTAACCACCAACCCAAGAGTACTTAGCAGAGGAGGCCTTGTTGGACATCAATGGAAGGAGAGGTCCTTAGTCCTGGGAAGGCTCAATGCCCCAGTGTAGGGGAATGCCGGGGCAAGGAGGCAGGAGAGAGGGGTTGGGGGGTGGGGGAATCACCCTCACAGAAGCAGGGGGAAGAGGGATATGATAACAGGTTTCAGGATGGGAAACCAAGCAAGGGGATAACATTTGAAATGTAAATAAATAAAATATCCAAGAAAAGAAAAAAAAAGACCTCTTGGAAAGCCAAGAGACTCTCAGCAGAATGGATAGCCTACAGATTGGTGGAAAACACCTGCCACTTTGTAGAATATATAAAGAATTACATGCACACAAATCTTAGCATTTCCTTTTTCTAACAGCAAGTAAATGGAATTAGTCTATATAGCCCATTGAAATATGGTAAATATACATAACAGGATTTTATTCAGCCATAAAGAATAGTGTGCTATAAAACTTATAGGAAAATGGGTAAATCTGGACACTATTATATCAACTAAAGTAACATAGCCTTGGAAAGAAAAATATTGCACATGCTCTCTCTTATGCAGATCCTAAGCTTTATTTTTAATTGATTTTTCTGCATATGAATGTCTTGGTTCCATGTATTTTTGCATACCTAGTGACTGCCAAGGCCAGAAAAGGCCATTCCTTTGTGATACAAGTTATAGATGATTATGGGCTGTCACATGGGCTCTGACACATGGTTTCTGAGAATCAAATCCAGATCCTCTGGGAAGGAGCCATTACTCTTAACTGCTAAGCCCTCTCTTCAGCCCCTGCTTCATATTCATATGGGTGTGGGAGTATACACAGAACCATAAAACTAGGAAGGGGATAGGAAAGAAAACTGTGTGAGACGCAATGCAGATACATGTGCTAAGAAAAGAGCAAAGGGCTACCACATATGGAAAGATACAAGGAGGGCATCATGGGGAAAAGAATTGGGAACTTTGACAAAAACAAATTATGTTTGAAATGCCACAATGAGACCAACTTTGTATTCTAATTTACAAAACAAAAAGAACGAGACAAAAGAGAAGCTTTCTTTACATTTCCCACTATCATGTTCCAGACCTCAGGTCAGGAACATTAAATATATCCTGAAATCCTCTGACAATGAATTTGATTAGAGTATATCCCACCTCCATAAATGAATAATAGAAAGTTCAGAATATAATACTAATACATATTTAAACCAAATCTAAGCCTTTAGTCATAATAATATGATGAGTAACTTCAAATGGACTCCATTACATATGCTTGTCTTCTTACAGTTACTGCAGTGGGTAAAATCTAGGCACTCTGAGAACTCAAAGGCTGGTATCACTGGCATCAATGGAAGCACCAATGGAAAGAAGCGAAGACAGAAGAGTTATCTTGAGGAGCAGCCATACTGCAGTGAAGTATACGCCCCAAACTACAAGGCCATGAGGAGTGCAATTACTGCTGGGATGCTCAGGACACTGCAGGAGGACATACACTCTAGGGATGCACAGGGCATGGAAACCAGAGGGCTAGAGTAACACACAGAGAGACCTAAATTTACTTTGGTACAGTCAGAAACTGTCGACTAACAAAAATCCAGTCTGTATCACTTCTGACAACCTGGAGCACTTTTTAGTTTCTTCATTTATAATAATACAGTAACTTTCAATACAGTGGCTGCAAAAAACCAATAAATATGCAAAGTGCTACTATTGTTGATGCTAAGGATACAAGGCAGTTGGGAAGGTTGACTTGAGTAGGGAAATAAGATTTGTGGAAGATCATCCCTTTTATATAGATTAAACTGTGTGGAAGTCTATATATGATTTTATACAAATTTACAGATAAATACAAACCTCATATGTAGCCAGCTTAACATTTAAAAATCACAGATGTTAAGACATTATTAAAACATGGACATCATTAACAAGAAATACAAGTTTTTCTCAATTTAGGAAAAATTGTTAAAGCACACCAGTTTGAATAATTTAAAATATTCTGGGAAGGCTAAGTGAGAAGAAAATACAGATATTTTTATTAATAAACATAGATAAACCTCTAAATATCAGCTTAATTTAAATAACTCTGTCACATTAAAACAAAAATAAAGTAAGTGTCAGAAATCATTCCAACAATCCCAGGACTAGAGGCTGTACTAGAAAGTACAGTATTTCTCTTAGTTGGGGGAAGCAATCAGATGTCAGCATCCAACTTACATTGCTCCATTGGTATAGACTGTATCACTTCCTTCCACATACTGCACCTGAGCTGGGTAGACATGTTGGACCTGCTGAACTGTCTGTACCTGCTGCACCTGAAAAACAAACATGAGAACCTTGGTTAAGTGGGATACATAGAAAGGGTACACATCATTAGAGCCACGGCAAAGGGAAGATACAAAGGGTACACCACATTAGATCCATGGTGAGCAGAAGACACAAAGGGTACACCACATTAGATCCATGGTGAGCAGAAGACACAAAGGGTACACCACATTAGATCCATGGTGAGCAGAAGACACAAAGGGTACACCACATTAGACCTATGGCGAGAGGTAGATCTTAAAAGCCTACATTGCATTAGGTCCATGGTAAGTGGTAGGAATAGGAAGAGTACACCACATAAGATCTATTTCAAATATTTCTCCAGAATACTGACCAACAGGAGATGGCTAGCATTAAAATCTCTTAGGTTTACAGTACTTTCAGGTTAAGAAACTTTGTCTAGATCAACTATAGGACATACACAAATAATGCTGTAATTTTCTTCTCAGTGTGCACACATACATAAACATACACATGTTTAATGTTCTGAAAGTTTCTCACTGATTTTGATGGCTTATGAAATTCTACGCCATTTTAATTTTTAAACTAAAGCTAAGTTTATTTTTAATTAAAAACCATCATCTCAGTCCATATAATGTTACTTGTATATTTATTTTTTTTCTTGTGGCTGAGCATTTGGTATTGGATAGGAAATTGATGATCTCTTTAGCCCTAAAATATATATAGAAAAGGAACATTCTATGGACTCAGCAGGTTGCATTTTATACATTTAGGAATACATTCACATGTATACATAGTCAAAATCAATTAAAGAAAAAGAGGTCATAAATTTGAAAAACAGCAAGGGCAAGTTACATAGAAGGGGTTGTAGGGAACATACAGAAGTTAAGAAATGATATAATTGTATTATAATCTCAAAAAATAAAACATTACAACAAAAATCTAATACAAAAATTTAAACACTCAAATGTTTAAAATTACCTTAATTTTCATGCACTCATTTTTTAAATAACTATCGCCATTCCTTTTCTTTTTACTCCCTGCCCAACCCTCCACCACACATGCGCGCGCGCACACACACACACAGGATTAGTAAAAGCAATTCTAGGATTGTTTTCCCTTTACATATGCTGTTTTCTTTATTTATGGAGGAAAGGCATATGGATCTTGGAAAACATTATACTTCCACCATGTGCATTCTAGAAACACACTCAGGTTATCAGGCTTAATAGTAAGAACCCTTTCCCACTGAGCCACCTCATGGACCACAGTTTGTTATTTCTAAGAAATGAAAATTATTTCAAAGATTTATTTCTAATAATTATATACATGCATGCCTATGTGAAGGTGTTCACGAAGCCAGAATACTACTTTAAACTCCAAACTGGAGTTATAGTTGTAAGCCTTCCTCTACAGGTGATAGGGATCAAACTCAGATCCGCCACAAGGCAGAGTGCATGTTAACCACTGATCCCTTTCTCTAGTCCCAAGAGATCAAAATTCTTTAAAGCAGTAACAACTCCATCATATCATCTGAAGTTCATCATTCCAGTGACCTTTGCAATATGTGTCTGTTCAAATAAAGACACTAACACGTTTCCCACAGTACAACAAGGCACCTCACACCTTAATTAATCAAAGTTTCCCATTCTTTTTTGCCTCTTCTCCTCTAGAGGAGAAAGATGGGTCCTTTACTTAAAAGGCTTTCTGGCATTCTAGACTCGGTGAACAGCATCACTAAATTTTCTGCTATGTGTTTTAACATGTCATATAAATTGGTGATTAAAATAGAGAGACGGCATATTGTTCCACTGATGACACATGGGTTCCCAGAGTCTATCTCGAGCACTCACACTCACCTATAACTCCAGCTACGGACGATTAAGTGCCTCAGGCCTCCAAGGGCACCTGCTCCCATGCACTCATATTCCCACCCCAACCCCTACACACACACACAGGATTAAAAATCACTTAGAAACCTAGAGATGGAAGAAGTTCCATTTTGAGAAGCTGAGAGCTTCCTATTGCACCCGTCCTTTGGCTTATAATGAAGCTATCTGCAATATCAAGTTTGGTCTAAAGGGTTGGGCAGCTTTAACAAGATTCTTTAGGCTAACGACTTATTTATCTTCCTGAGAATTCTAGTAATCATCAAAGGCTACTTTCTAGAAAAAAATGTTAATAAAAGTTGTGAGCTTGTGGTAGCTAATATTTTCTGTCATTTTCTTATTAAGAGATTTCTATAAAAATCTAACCAGCAGAATGTCTGCTGTCTGTCAAACAGTCTCCTAGAAATGTCCGCATAAATAAAACTATCATGATACCAGGATCAGAGGACATGTAAACATGGAAGGGAAAATGTCTACAGCATACATTTTCATTCTCTTAGATGTCCCAGATAACTTATTAGTAAAAGACATACCACTGTTATTTGGTTCTTCTAGTATTATAAATACTTCCATTCCTCATAATCTTTAAGGGTTTGCTTCTTCTGTTTTTAAATTCCTCATTATTTAAATAATGTTGTACATGTTTTCAGAGAGTACATTTTCTTGTAGATTTTACATACATTTGTGTCTATGGATTTTCATGATATATATATAAGTATATGCCTGTTTTCTTAAGAAAACACCAGTTATCAATATAATATATTTGATAGTTTTTATAATTCTAGAATAAGGTAATTTTTAAAATGAAAATTCTCTCATTACTTTTATTATCAAACTTACAAAACCTATATGCATTGTTTTTCCCTAAATTTAATATTGTAATCTGCTTATTAATATATTTTACAATTTCCTATGTGTTGGAGTCCTTTCTTACTGGTTTATGGTAGTTATTTTTATTTCAAACACTGTATTAAATATTGAAGATTATTTATTCAAATATAAAACTAGATTTTTCCCTTCCTTTATATTATTTGCTCCAAGTAATAATCTATCTGTCTCTCTTCAAAGGTGGCTAGATATAACATGTATATGTATATGTATATGTATATGTATATGTATATGTATATGTA